TGGTGAAACCTTTCGGGATAATTCTTGAACGTAAACATCGTTGTAGAAAATTCCGATGAGATGTAACGCTGGTTTTCTTAAAAGTGGTGAAAGCGAGATTTTTAGTAGTCAGAGACAACTCAGCGGGCATCAGACTGAAAGCAATAGTGATAAAAGAACGCAGGTTAGTCATGACTGAAGCGTGAGAAGGCATGTGGGAAGGGTAGAAGACAGGTTAGACACAAAAGTATATAAAGAGAAACAAAAACTGTATATTATTATAAAAGTACTCACGTAACCTTGTGTGGCTAAATAAACAAAGCGAAACACAGAGGCGCGGAAACTAAACCAAACATGTACGGTGACAAACAAAAACGTGCGTCATGCGCAGTCGATGTGAAAATCCAAAAATGGTGAAAATATGGGGGTGACTGCAGTCAATCTAATACAAGGAATTTCAGAGAAATTTGACTAAAAAGCTCAATAAAATGGGGAAGCAGAAAAACGTCCACAAAACAACACAACGTAACGTTTCGGCCGGGCAGCCTTTTTCAAACCAACGCCGTATCTAATTCCTTCCTCAAAACCACTACAGCGCCCCTTTGTCATGTCTGCAATATTTGTTCTCTACCAAAAACCGTTGACTACGTCTAGCTTGTCATGAATCAATTTAGCCTCAGCGAGAAGTAGAAATAGTCAGCCCCCCCCCCCCCAACCCCATACAAGAAAAAAAAAAGGGGGGGGGGGGCAAAGTAACACTTGACAGAATGAAAGCTGAAACTAAAACACAATAATATAATAATATAACGAGACAGTGAATTTTTTCCAATTTTGAATCTGTCTGACAAAAGAAATAGACGGATACCTTGATTCTAGAAAATAAAACCACTAATCATTCATGTCTTTTTTATTTTACTAGAAAGATTTGAGGAGGAACTGCAATGTTTGTTCTTTTCATTAGCTCATTTATTATGTGGAATTTGGACTAGCAAACAGCAAAAAATGTGTTGCAAGGTATGACAAACCTGAGTCTATACTGATGGCGAAGAGCTAAAGAGTCTCCTTATCTGGGATCCACAGTGAATAACATAATATCACGGGACTAAGAAATCAACATTAGTGTAGTTAAGACAGCAATACCATTGAACATATAAACAAAAAGGAATTTAGAAGAGCAAACAGCTCACGATTGAAAACAAAATCTTTTATTTATCAAGCTCGTATTCTTAGCATTCATCTCTTCGACAGTAAAACGTACCCAGCGTTAATTCGCACCAGGAGAACCGGCCAGATAGCTTTCACATGCTATGACCAAAAAGAATAAATGGCATTAAGTGACAAGACAAGATCACAAACTACGGTATTGAAAAGAGCAAGCATCATAACAGTTTTCTCATTAAAAAAAAAAAGATAAAGTCGGGAGATGTGAACCAGCGTCATTGCACACGGTTGTAAACCACAAGTGCTCTGCCACCAGTACGGACAGCTGATAAGAATTGTCCGCCTGTGTCGCGGTCCGCACGTAAACCTGTGGCTACAGCGACGTTCCTCCATTTACCCCAGAGTGTCAACTCTGGTACCCATTTCCTAGAGGCTGGGTGAACCCCAGGAGCCGCCCGGTTTCGAACACATACCGTGGCCCCAGCGAGTCGCAGCTGGATTTGAAAGCGAGGCTCTTATCGACTGCGATAACGCAGCTCGCAGTCTACGAAGACTCAGCTAGCTGGGTCACGCCTAGGAATAGAGGATGGTAGAGCCTTATGAGGACGTTCTCTATATAAAATTATAAATTAAAAATGTTAGGTCGAGAGGATCAGCTTTATTGCACCGGGTTTTATCCTATATGGCTTGGTCTCTCTTCGCAGAACGGCTAGCCGCCTGCTAAAAGCGCCGCACAGAGCACAAACTCCATAGATCCGGCAACGATCACTGGGGATCTCTGCAAAAATTGCACTCGTGAAGTGAACAGCGCAGCCGTGAAACGAACCCACGACATTCAGAGCGCGAGGCAAACGGCTTGACCACTTCGCCACAGAGACCCCGAAAAAAATGACAGATTTGTAAAGGATGTCAAGGCCGACCTCTGCTATGATGTAAAGATGTATGCAAGCAGGACATAAATGATACAGGTATTGAGGTAAATTCATTGGAAGAAAATGACACAAGTAGTGTTGCGTAGAAATAAAAGGGGAGGGTGGGGGCGCTCAGGTAGGGAGTTTTAATAGCGGGTTTGGGGATGACTGCAGACAGGCTGAGAGCTAAGTGGACGAGAAGACGCACATTTTAATACATGTGAAGCAAGAGGAGTCCTGAAATTCCAGCTGTAATTGGGGAATCCTTCTTAACGCAGCCGGGTTTTGCTAATCTCACTAGCCATCGTGACGGACTGTGATCTCTGTGCCTTGCACGATATAACACTATCGTCTGGAAAGACAAAATGGTGCCAGCAACAACATTAGAAAGATTTGAAGCAAATGAGACGAGTACCACAAACTGTATTTGAATTCATTTATCTTGCTGTTTCTATATCCACAAGGATTCACCGTGTATTGGCCGTGTTGTGTAATCCACTAGATCAGGCACTCTTTCTCGGCGTGAGGTAGTTTTTGTACCATCCGTGTTTGTTATGGTCGAAAGTTGTCGTCTGGACTTTTGTCTCTGTTAGAAAACACACGGTATTTTGTTTGTTTGGTACAAATGCTGTAGCATTTTTTGGCGTTACTTATTGTTCATTATTCTATTCAGATTTTGAAGTCACGTTTACTCTTCTTAAACATTGCTCATTTTCTCAAACAGGATTTGATTGAAAGGAGGGATCAGCAATGAGTGTCTGGTGCAGAATTTCTGTCTGTGGCAGACGCAGATTTTTCATTGAACGAAAGGTATACAAATATCATACATTTGTTTGTTATGTAGTCCCCCCTTACTGTAAAGGTACTTGAAAACTAGGAATTAAAACGTAACTAACAGAATAAACTCAAAGGTGTAGAATACGTTAGATAGATTATTAGTAGGTACTAAGTTGGCACATTCAAAGTGACCGCTATCCTCTAAATAACGGTCGGTAAAGATGGCGGCCGCAAAATATCCTTTCAGGGCACAGTCACGTGACCTTATTTGTGGTTCTCCGGCGACTTAATTTGGCGTTCTCTGGCGGTTTTCCGGCGACTACCGCCACGAATTTCCCCACGTCGCGTGAACGGCGTGGATTGGGGCTAAACTAGATGCCTAGGACTCACGACCAGCAGCTTCCACATCTCCTGAAGCTTTGCTCTTGAGTCCTAGCCATCTAGTTGAGCCCCAATCCGTGCGGCGTGGGGGACTCGTGACGGTGGCGGTAATCGCCAGAAAACCGCCGGAGAACCGCAGATTAGGTCACTGTTAGGTGACTGTGGCTTGAAAGGATATTTTGCTTTACCGACCGTTGTTCGGAGGATAGCCAAAGTGACTAATTAAGGCTTAACTAAAATTGGATGTGCTGGGCTGAAAGGTGGAAATGTTGCAGCCTAGCTTTAAACAACAACACAGTGGTCTTTAAAGGGCAAGCACAGAAAGAAAAAAAGGTTCAGCATGCCCTGTATAAGACTTAACATGCCTCTTAACTTAACGCTCTCCTCCGAACTTCGTCCCTATATTATGGCGGCTAAACAAATACCCTAGCAGGGCCTAAGTCGCCTGTAAAATGCAGAGTGCCTGTCGAGGAACAAATCACGTCAAAACTAAGATTGCCTATGAATAATGGGCAAATATTATCGAGGGCAAACAAATACTCTAACAGGGTCTCAGCGATATGTTAATTGCAGACCTGATTCTGCGACTGTGCCGCCGCTACGCGCGGCGGGGATGTTGGGCTAAACTAGATGGCTGGGACTCATTAGCAAATAAATTGGAGGAAGTTGTAGGAGATATGGTAGCAGCTGCTGGTGAGTCCCGGCAATCTAGTTTAGCCCCCCATTCACGCGTGAGTTTAATCAGAAGAACACAATCGCTAACCTGCATCGGAGTGCGTGGTCTCCCCGCCATGTGGCTATTATCGTGTGTATTGTTGCGTTTCTCAAAATTGTCAACAGACAGAAATTCTAGTTTTGCCTCTATGTGTTCGTCAGAGGAAATCGCATTTTACACACGACTTAGGCCCTGTTAGGGAATTTTGTTTGGCCGCCATAATATGGGGACGAAGTTCAGGGGAGAGCCGACTTTACATGCCTTGTATGAAACTTAACATGCCCTGTATACGTCATAACATAAGTAAAGTAAAAATTAAAGATCCCTTTTCATGCCTTAGGCGCATCGGGCGTATGAGAAGAGCATCCCATATTTTTACAGACCAATCGTTACTGGGTGGGTAATGTGGTCAGCATTACGCCGGAAGTCATAACATGCCCTGTATAAAACATAATATGCATTGTTTAAGACATAAAATGCCCTGTATGAGACATAACATTCTGTATATTAGACATAGCATACTGTGTGAAAGATATAACATGCTGTATATAAGACATAGCATACTGTGTGAAAGATATAACATTTTGTATATTAGACATAGCATACTGTATGAAAGATATAACATGCTGTGTGAAAGACATAACATACCCTGTATAAAACATAATATGCATTGTATAAGACATAATATGCCCTGTATAAGACATAGCATGTTGTGTATGAAATATGAGATACCCTGTATAACACAGTGTGCACTTTATGAGACATAAAGTGCCCTGTATGACACATAATTTGCATTGCACAAAACCTAAAAGGCCATGTATAAGACATACCAAGCCCTATATACGACATAGCATGCCCTTTAAAAAATATAACATGCCCTATACAAGCTATACCATTCTCTGTATAAGACATAACATGCCCTGTATGAGACATAACATGCCAGGAAAGCTAACCTAGCTGGTCACCAAATGCCTGCAGAAGTCGAATGTGTCGGCCAAAAGGTGCAAATAGCGCAGCCATGCTGTAAACAGGCACAAAGCATTTAGGTCTTTGGATGAACGCAGAAGAAGGAAAAGTCATAGCATGCCCTGTGTAAGACATAACATGATGTATTTAAGACACAACCTGCCCTGTATAATACATAGTCTGCCCTGTATAAGACATAACCTGCCCTGTATAATACATAGTCTGCCCTGTATAAGACATAACATGCCCTGTATAATACATAGTCTGCCCTGTATAAGACATAACATGCCCTGTATAATACATAGTCTGCCCTGTATAAGACATAACATGCCCTGTATAATACATAGTCTGCCCTGTATAAGACATAACATGCCCTGTATAATACATAGTCTGCCCTGTATAAGACATAACATGCCCTGTATAATACATAGTCTGCCCTGTATAAGACATAACATGCCCTGTATAATACATAGTCTGCCCTGTATAAGACATAACCTGCTCTGTATAATACATAGTCTGCCCTGTATAAGACATAACATGCCCTGTATAATACATAGTCTGCCCTGTATAATACATAGTCTGCCCTGTATAATATATAGTCTGCCCTGTATAAGACATAACATGCCCTGTATAATACATAGTCTGCCCTGTATAAGACATAACATGCCCTGTATAATACATAGTCTGCCCTGTATAAGACATAACATGCCCTGTATAATACATAGTCTGCCCTGTATAAGATATAACATGCCCTGTATAATACATAGTCTGCCCTGTATAAGACATAACCTGTCCTGTATAATACATAGTCTGCCCTGTATAAGACATAACCTGCCCTGTATAATACATAGTCTGCCCTGTATAAGACATAACATGCCCTATATAATACATAGTCTGCCCTGTATAAGACATAACATGCCCTGTATAATACATAGTCTGCCCTGTATAAGACATAACATGCCCTGTATAATACATAGTCTGCCCTGTATAAGACAAAACATGCCCTGTATAATACATAGTCTGCCCTGTATAAGACAAAACATGCCCTGTATAATACATAGTCTGCCCTGTATAAGACATAACATGCCCTGTATAAGACATAACATGCCCTGTATAATACATAGTCTGCCCTGTATAAGACATAACAGGCCATGTGTGAGACTTAACATTTGTGTATAAGACATAACATGCCATGTGTGAGACTTAACATTTGTGTATAAGACATAACATGCCCAGCATAAGAGTTATATTGCAGTGTACAAGACAACACACCATGCATAAGACATAACATACCCTATATATGACATAACATACCCTGTATACAACATAACCTGCTGTGTATAAAACATTCCTATTTTGAAAACTTATCTACTGACATAAAATATTACAGTGTGTGAAGAATCCTACTGTTGTGACAGCCAGATTTAGGAGTCAGGTACCTCTTGATGAAGAGTGGAAGAAAGAAGCAGCAAAAGAGCTTCGGGGGAAAGATGTTGAGGAAACTCTCATATGGAGAACAGCTGAGGTAGATATTCTTTTCCTTTCTTCAACTTACATGCTCAGGTATGTAAGAAATAACATTATTTCATTGTAATGTAAATCAGTTTCCCATGACGGTTTTTGACCCTGCCTTAAATGGCCTTATATGCCCAGAACACCTGAAGTTGTGAAAAAGGTCCTTAAAAAAACAAAACATTGCTCTCATTTTGAATTACGGGACAGAATATTCGTCCTTTCAGAAAATTAAAGCAGTTTCCTCTTTACAATTATTCTGTATATCTGTTAGAAGGATTCATTTATTTGCTTCATTAAATTTAATTGTTACTGCAGTATGCACCTGACTAGATAAGTCCAGGCAAAAAATTGTGCAGTCTGTTTTTTGTGCCTTCTTTGTTGAAATATTAGCCCTTTGTCAGTTTCCCTGCTTCATGGTCATTCTAGCCCAAAATATCACTGGTTTTTTTTAATGCACATTTGTTATAGTCTCTGCCTTATGGTCTTGTGGGCAGTGTTATATTATTTTGCTCAAAACAGTATTATTTTGGTTATTTGTTACTACCATAACTCGTGATGTACATGTAATCTGGTTGTTTCTTATTAACGGAGATGGTCAGGAGAAAAACCTACAACAAAAGTGCTAACCAATCTCTTTGTTCTTCTGACTGTTCAAGTACCAGAGATGAGCAGAGATGCGCTTTTGCTGCGAGTTTAGGAATAATTAGTTTAGCAATAAAGTTTAGCAAAAAGTTTAGCAATAATGAAAATATTGAAGGTTACCTTAGTGCTTTATTTTAGAAGACTGTAACATAATGAGCATTTAGTGTGGCATCTTCTAGATTATTTATTGATTCCACTGGCTGTAGGAAAAGTTTTAAGTAGATAAATGTATTAAAGAAGTAGGATTGTTGTGCTTTTAACTCTTTCAGACCCAGGCATTTTTACAGACTTGGCCCACATTAATTTCCATTTACAAAAATTGCATAGGGGGTGGTGTACAAAAAAGGCAGTAGAAAATGTAATATACTTCTAATCACTACAAAAGTATATATTTTTTTAAAAGAAAAATGAATGTACATTTTGAATATGATAATAAGTGTACGTTTAATACTGTTATAAGTAGCTGGAAAAAAGAAATCAGCAGGTGTTAATTTTTCAACAACATTTTACAAAAAAAAAAAAAAATTCTTCACTTACCATGGTTTTGCAGCCAAAAGAGCAGTGAATATCTAAATTTGAGAATAACACTTTTAAGTTTGTTCAATTTCCTATCATATTCCAGTTATATTTTCATGATTAGTTTAGCACTCAGAAGCTCTAGATTCTCACAGAGTGCTGAACAAACTTTCAGAGAAAAATGTCAGAAAAATTGACCATTACACATACACACACTATTTACTAATTAGTTTGTATAGTTATATACAGACTGTAGCTGCAATGATTTCATTGTCGCTTATTTGTTTAGAGCACTTTTTTTCTCTTACACCCTAAATACAGTAGCAATGGAACATTCTCTGTGTCGAACTTGTCAGAATCACTAGATTCCCACAAACAGCTGATCGCTTAGCTGCTGCTGGTGTAAATTAACTGTCCGAATCACTTTCAGGAACATCTAAATTGTCATTATCATTATCAGAATTGAAAACATCCCACTGAAACAATTTCTGAACTTCGGCCACAGAAAAACACATAATGCCGTCTGTACTTGTGGTTGGAACACTGGTGTCCATGGCGTCAAACACGAAATTACAAAATGCATGATCTGGAAAGGGATAAGATTAGTTTGCAACTACATGGGGCTGAATAAAGGCTAATATACAAAGAAAAACCTTAGAGTAACCTTCCATGAATACTTTAAAAGTACCTCAGAACATTATAAACAAATACAGAGTCGTGTGCAAAGCAGTATGTACGGGACACACGATCCACGGTCACAGTGTTGTTTGGGCAAACTGGAACTTCTCAGTTGACGCTTACAGCGTTGCTCAGGCCTTAACGAGTTTAATCCTTTCTTAGTTGGTTCTTGACCTTTGTTTTCTTTGATAGATAGTTAACTTGACTTTTCTCTATTTAAGGGTATCAACATTAAGCCGGTTTATACCACTGCAGATACAGCTGATATTGCTCCAGAAATTCCTGGCAAATTTCCATATACACGAGGTGTCTACTCTACAATGTACACCCACAGACCTTGGACCATTAGACAGGTACTTATTGTCTGTTTGTGATTACTTTTAATCACATATGTCAGTAGAACTCCTTTCCTTCTCCTCCTCCTTCTCCTCCTCCTCCTTCTTCTCCTCCTTCTTTTCCTCATCTTCCTCCTTCTTTGTCTTCTTCTACAGCGTTTTGAGTCTTTGAGGTTCATAGCTGCTTAAAAAACCTGCCTCATTTTATTTCTTTCATTAGCCTTCCTTACATTAGCCTTCTCTTTCCAGTTGGTGACTCCAAGTATTTATAGTCTGCCTAAATATTACCTTTCCACCTTCTTCTTTGCCTTCCTCATGGTCTACTCCTATTCACCTCTTTTGTATACACAAGTAGAACAAATGAGCAAAATACAAGAAATACTTCAAGTCCTCAAGCCATCTTTTGTCCCAAACAAGTTAGGCACATCAAGGAAATAAAGCACATTGGTAAGCTATACAAAAGAGCAGAACTATTGTGTGCACTCCCTCTTGTTTTCTCCTTTGGCAGCTGGGGGCACACAGAAAACACTAGAGCAACTCTAAAAATTTGCCAGAGAGAGAATGTAAATCTAACATGGAGGAGCAATCCTGCAAGGCATATTTTTGTCTGCTGTTGGAGATCTCAGACATGGTAAAGATCACAGACATGGTTAAGATCTCAGACATGGTAAAGATCTCAGACATGATAAAGATCACAGACATGATAAAGATCTCAGACATGTTAAAGATCACAGACATGGTAAAGATTTCAGACATGGTGAAGATCTCAGACATGGTAAAGATCTCAGACATGATAAAGATCACAGACATGATAAAGATCTCAGACATGTTAAAGATCACAGACATGGTAAAGATTTCAGACATGGTAAAGATCACAGACATGGTAAAGATCTCAGATATGGTAAAGATCTCAGACATGGTAAAGATCTCAGACATGGTAAAGATCTCAGACATGGTAAAGATCTCAGACATGGTAAAGATCTCAGACATGGTAGAGATCCCAGACATGGTACAGATCTCAGACATAGTAAAGATCTCAGACATGGTAAAGATCTCAGACATGGTAAAGATCTCAGACATGGTAAAGATCTCAGACATGGTAAAGATCTCAGGCATGGTAAAGATCTCAGACATGGTAAAGATCTCAGACATGGTAAAGATCTCAGACATGATAAAGATCCCAGACATGGTAAAGATCTCAGACATGGTAAAGATCTCAGACATGGTACCAGTAATGACCAATACTAGAATAAACTTAGGAAGGAAAAGAAGAAGTTGGTGATCCTCATCTCCTGTCATCCGTATGTGGGTTCTGGAGCCCCATTGTGGGTGTGGGGATGGGGGACTAGATCCACTGCCACCTAATAAGCAAGTCATAAAAGTCGACTAATTTGGGGTGTTTTCTTATTAGTAGCAGCAGCAGCAAAAAGTCAGATAGACAATAATAATACCTGTAATTGTATACAAATTGTTCTTTTCTCTGAATTAAGTATGCAGGGTTCAGTACAGTGGAAGAAAGCAACAAGTTTTACAGGAACAACATCAAAGCTGGACAACAGGGTCTTAGTGTAGCATTTGACTTGCCCACACACAGAGGGTAAGGGTTTGCATGTTTAATTACATCTTGTTATTTCTGTATTGTTGTCAGAAGTTGTGATCAGTTTTTAGTTCAATATAAATTATGAATTGAGAACCGGTGCAGTTAAATCAATCTTTTCATCTTGAAACCCTCTTTTATAGTGGTCAGATACATTTCTGCTTGAAAATATGCTCAATGAGATTCATTTATGTGAGATGAATTTTTTTAATGGAAAAATCTGCTTTATAAAATATCTTTTTATGTCAAAATCTATTCAGTGAAATATAATTTTATGTAAAAATATGCTCTATTAAATATATTTTTATGTGAAAATCTGCTTAGTGAAATATACTTTTTTTTGGGGGTAAAAATAAGCTCTATTAAATATATTTTTATGTGAAGATCTGCTCAGTTAAATATATTTTTTATGTGAAAATCTGCTCGATGAAATAATTTTTTTGGGTAAACATTTGCTCATGAGATATTTTTTTTAAATGTGAAAATCTGTTTAATGAGATTAATTTTTTTGTTAATCAGATCAGTGAGCTACATTTTTACGTGACAATCTGCTTATTTATATTCATATGAATTTTCCTAGCTATGACTCAGATAATCCTCGTGTGACGGGAGACGTAGGCATGGCAGGCGTGGCTATTGATTCAGCTGAGGACATGAAACTGTTGTTTGAAGGCATCCCTCTGGATAAGATCTCCACATCTATGACCATGAATGGAGCAGTGCTGCCAATTCTAGCCATGTACATCATTGCTGGAGAAGAGCAGGCAAGTGCTGTCATTCTACATGTCTTTCTTCTTCTTCTCCTTAACATTTACTGGCTGTAAACTGCTGTGGAAATTTCTGGTGGTTCATCCACTTCTGGACTTTGGTCTTATCCCAGAAGTTGAATTTTGCGTTCACATCAGTTTTACAAATCTGGCTTATTTGTATGAAGACTGTTGGTTCCTTACCTCTTAGGCAGATACACTTCGACATTGAGGGTAACACCCCTCATTAGTCGCTTTTTATGACATGATTGTGGGGGGAGGGGAGAGGAGTGGATATATTCTTATTTTCTTCCCACATTTAGGCCCCTGAACCCACATAGTTCGATCATGACAGTCAAGTCTTTCCTTATAGTTACGTTGATGTTTGTATAGCTAAGGCATTGTGCTTTGTAATTCAGAAATACCCGATTCGATTAAGCCACAGGTGATTTGACAGCAGACCACTTAGATGATATGAATCAGTGACTGCTCAGAAAGAAATGGCAAATTATTGAATGTAAAATTGCCTAGAAAAATCACAAAAAGCCAAACTTTTTAAAAATGGTTGCCAAAAGGAAATGAATGCAAGTTTAAAAAACAAAACAAAAAATGAAATTTGCAACAACTGCATAATACAGAATATAATAAGACTGAATTTTGAGTTGTCACTTATTGTAGTTTTGTATTCTGCTGCTGAAGTTTGTTCAGTTTTGTTGAAGTTGTTTCTAGTAAACAATGAGTGTTTCATTTATCCTTCTTCTAATGTTGACATGGTGTTGGGGGGAGTGTGCACAGTGAGCAGTCGATGTGGTACCAACACATATCTGTCTTCTTCTTCTTCTTATAGTCCATGCAATGTGGTGTTGGTAGTCATGTCTATCCACAACCTTCGGTCTCATGTACTTTCAATCATTTCTGATACTGTTAATCTTCAATGCCATGATGTCAAACTCTCCAACATCTTTTCTCACAGTTTCTCTCTGTTACTTTTCATCTCCAACTTTCCCACTATTTTGATATGAGTTATGAGTTAGATTATCTTCACAACACTCTGGACACATCCATAAGCGCTCAGATTCCCCTCTCAACATATTCATCAGTGTCGTGCGGTTAATAGTGCCAGTCCTGTGTTGGTTAACAAGACTTCTATCTTGATATACACCAGCTTTCTCCTTCTCATGACGTGATTAAAGAATGTGGATTGTCTGCTTCTGATGCGGACAGTCAGTTATCTTTGTGAGTCATTCTTTTGTTTTCAAGACATCTTCATGAATTACTCTTTTTATCTGTCCAAGGTATTCTCATCATTCACATGTAAAACATCTCCATCACTTCCAAATAATTTTTTGTACTTATCGTCCAGCTCTTCATATAGTACTTAGAATATAAACCATGTTTGGCTGTTGATGTCAGCCCAATTCTGTATGTATCCACAGGTGTAGAAATTGTAGAACATAGAACAGTAGAAGTGTCAAGCATGGGAAGGAGTGCTTTACAATCACACACATGGGCGAAATCCCCCAAAGTGAGACTTGAACATTAGAATCATGTCTTTAAAAAAAAAAAGTAGAATTAAATGACATTTACGAATTTCATAGAAGGCTTCTGTTACAGATTTTTAGTTTTGTTAAATCCAGTTTTGTATTACTAAAAATGGTAAGTAATGGATCACTTTTCCTGCCTCAGAGCTCATGTTGCTAGCCAGCTGCCATTATATTTAACTTCTCATGATAATTTCCAAGTGTTCATGTAATGGTGTTGACCTGCGATCCCTTGTGCAGTGAAAGCAGTCCAAATTGAACCCACACCAGAGTAATTGTACATTTTGTATAATTTAAGTATCAAACATGTTGAACTGAAGAAATAAGAATGCCGTGTGGGTTCCAGGGCCCTGTTATAGAGAAAACAAGAATAGACCCGCTGCCTATTCAAAAGCATACCTCAAGAATTGACTAATTGGGTGTTTCCTTAGAAGTCTGAGTGCATCAGCCTGAGAGGCAAGGAACCAGCAGTCTGCACACAAATGAGTCAGGTCTGTCAAACGGATGCACATGCATCACTCAATTTCTGGAACAGGACTGCAGTCCAGAAGTGGTCAAACAACCAGAACCAGAGTTTACAGTGATGAACGCAAAGAAGAAAAAGAAGATTATTATTATTTTTACTGTTGATAATGTTTTGTTTTTTTTAAATGGTAAAATATTTGTTCTTTTACTTGTTGTAGGGAGTAAAGCAAGAAGACTTGGCTGGAACAATTCAGAATGATATCCTAAAAGAGTTTATGGTGAGAAACACATACATCTACCCTCCTGAACCATCTATGAGAATTATAGGGGATATTTTTGAGTACACATCAAAGGTAGGTTACAGAAATTGCAGTATTTATGTCTTTATTGTATGTGAAACAACAGCATAATTGCGATACTTATAACACTATGCATTGTGAATACAGGGATTTTAATAATCTAATCTATCGAGGCACTGTGAATAAAAGTATTTAAATATCTGACCTATAGGGGCAGTACAAATAAAGCAATTTTAACATTTGATTCTTGGAGACACTACAAATAAAGCTGTTTTTAACAAATGATTTATTGAGGTGCTACAAATAAACTTGGTTATTCATGGGGGCACAACAAATAAAGTGATTTCAATATCTGATTTATGGAGGAAGTATACATAAAGTTTTAACATCTGATTTATTGAGGCCCTACAAATAAAGATCAACGAAAACTCTAGACACAAAATTAGACAGTTTTGAAAATAAATGCCTTAGAAGAATACTAAATTTCAAATGGTCAGATTTCCGAACAAATACACAAATAAGGCAAGAATCCAGGCAAGAGTATGTGTCTAACTTTATACGAAAACACCGCTGGAACTATGTCGGCCACGCCCTTAGAATGGATAAATCAAGACTTCCTTACCAAGCCCTCATTTGGACACCACAGGGGAAAAGATCTCGTGGAAGACCAAGGGAAACCCTACGTAGAACTATCATCAGGGAAGGCTCGCTCATGGGCCACTCATAAACATCCAAGACCTACAACGGATTGCAACGAACCACCATGCATGGAGAGTCATGACCTTTGCCCTATGTGCCGCCCTCGACACAAGAGGAAAGACTAAATAACTAACAAATAAAGTGATTTTAACAAATGATTCTTGGAGGCACCAAAATAAAGTGGTTTTGTTATCAGAAGGAAATGAAATCTGGCCAACTGTTGTCAGGAGCATGTAGCTACAAATGTTCTGGATAAAGATGAAAACCACACTTTAGGTAACAGACTCTGAAAGCATACCGAGAAAGGTGAAGACAGGGATGCTTCGAGGAGAGAGGCAAGCTTCACTGGGAAGGTCACGGGTAGTGAGCATACTTGGATCTTTTCTCTAGGCAATGCTGGCATGGTGGGGAATTAACAGGCAGACAGATTTGCTGGATTTGCACCACTGGGTGGTGAATTGATACATGCCACGGCAGATGTTGTCAGGGCCCTTTGGGAACAAGCAACGAAGTCAGAAGCGAACACGATTAATATGGCCTGGAGAGAATGAAGCACCTGAGTGTAACAACGGGGTCTGGCTGGCTCACCGTGCTCAGGGGAAAGGCAAGACGGACATATAACCAGATTACGACCAGTACCATTAGTATTGGAACTTTGTGCTGGCTGCTGAAGATGAGGACAGAGCATGCATGAGAATTTCCCGAGTGCTGTGATGTTGCAACCAAGGCAACACATGTGGCTTTGGAACATGTCAGAGGCCAGTTCGGCTATGGGAAGGACAACTCTGATGATAGTGAATCATCACGTATGAACGAGTTGACCTTCAGTACAACTCAGTATGAGAGCGGACAGCTTGACCATGGAATAAACTGGGTCCAGTTAACGGACCAAGCCTAGTTCACACAGGTGACACGGATTACTGCGTGTTGAGCCGTGAACTCGGGCCCGAAACAAAAAGCTTTGTCCGAGCTGGTTGAGGGTAGAGTCGTGTACGGAGACGGGGGGGACGGAACGTTTTGACTAGGTAAAATTAGGTTAGTGATGGTTAGTTGGAATAGGATCTTTGTGTTTAGTATCTACGATAGGCTGTGTTGTTATTTAATGTTTCGACTAGATAGTATAGAGTTAACCTTCCATGTGTAGTAGACATTCCATGCAGTATTTGTTTAAGCAGTTAGTAAAGGTGTGACGCACATTGTAAATGGCAATAACACTGCCCAGTCACGCTTAGGCCATACACCTTACGTGTATCGCTGAGTCCCGTGTGGCAATAGACGGCGGCTTAATTAGCACTGATAAACTGTCAGCTAGGAGTCGTGTTCCTTATAGATCCATGGGGACCTGCGTGGGTTGACCAGTGATTGTAAAGCTGCTCATCGCCAGGGGTTTCGGATAGGAACTGCCTAACTCAGTTGAAGTGTTTAACGTTGATTTGCTCATTGTACATTAAAGATTATGTTTGTACTCAGTGGGAGTACCTACCTAGCGAGCCATATTAAATATTACAGAGTAAAGTAGGTCCCTGACAGAACACAAGCTTAGGCTCATTCTATACCTATGCCATAAGTGGATTATAAAAAAAAAAGATGTCATCTTCTTGAGACAAAACAACATATAACAGAGGATAACTTGTAATCTTTTTGTTTACTTCTTTGTTATATGCACATTCATATAAATTAAAATGATTGTAGTCACCATAATTTTCTACACCGTATGTAGCATATAGGTTACAGTCTTCATAGTTGCTACAATTTAACTCTCAAATGACCTCGTATTTTGTGAGAGTGATTAGTGATTACTGATTACTAAGGAAAGGGCTTTTATTTTTCTAGAATAAAAAATGGTACCAGCACTCAACACAGAGTGTCTATTAGAGGAGCATTGAAAAAAATGATGCCTAGAAAAATGTGCAGATATTGCGTACTGCTGTGTACTGTCAGAGAAAAAAGACCCAGTTGAGGACTATTATTGTAGTACTCTGGACACATCCATATGTGCTTCCATCCCCTCCTGAATAACTCCACAAGCATACAGTGATATTTTATCATGATAAAGCCCTTTTTTGTGTTTTACCTTGCAGGATATCTCATCAGGTATATTACTACAGAGTTAAATCAACATAATAAAGCATCGAAATATAAATCCTTTTCACTGAAATGCATAAACCACATTATTAAGTTACTGTACATTTCTCCAATGGCAATTCAGCATCAGCCATGTGATTATTGTGGTAACTTTCCAGTGTGTCCAATGGTCTTTTTTTTGTTTACATAACACAGAGGAGTTCAGTTTTTTTAAACACAGCGTCAGACACTTTTAGCAAACATCTTTTCAGTGTGCAGGATTATTTACCACACATTGAATAGATGTTTGCTAAAAGTCGCAATGTTTGCTGAAAGGGTTCAGGCCATGTAAAAAAAAAAACACTGAAATCTTGTGTTATGATGTCTTCTTTGAGAGTATTGTAGGGTGTATATATATAATACTTTACATTACACATATCTAAATTCAAGACAATATAAATTGATGTGCGTCACCTTTTAGAGATAGAATTGTAAGAGGTGTGGTTTGTATTTTTTTTTCCACAGTATATGCCTAAATTCAACTCAATATCCATTTCTGGGTATCATTTGCAAGAAGCTGGAGCAGATGCTGTATTGGAATTGGCCTTTACCATTGCAGACGGCCTTGAGTATGTGAGACAAGGTGAGCAGAATATCTGCAGAAAAGTTCAGTTAACAAATTTACATTATCAATTACCTAGGAAAATACAATTTAAAAATTTTTTTTAAATGGGGAGTGTGGGTATGTGATGTTATTATGAAATGATTAATTCATTAGTGGGCACTCTTCCGAATACCCAAATTATTCACTTTAAAAAAAATCCCATTCAGGGCCTCAAGAGGTCATATAGTTACAAATATAGAATAGATACACTATGAACTAGCTTTGGGTTATTATATAATTTCATTTAAACCCAACTCTTGAGTCTTCGAAGCCGGACTTTTCAGAAAAATGACCTTGGCTTCCAGGTCGACCCAGCCTTGAGTGGGTACCGGGTGCATTCCCGGGAAGTAGAGGCGGCCGGCATCGCCCATCTTGTGCCGATTGGTCTATAAAATATATGTCTAGCCCTATATGACCTATACGCCTAAAGGCGTGGAAACTGGTCCTTTACCTTTTTTTTTTTTTTACTCGAGTCTTCGGTAGTACTGTTGTAAGTATTCCGCCTATTCGAATCCTCGCAAGGTGATAATTTATTTTAGCCCTTAAAAGGGCGGTTGAGACGTTGTGTTGTGGTTTACGGCTATGCTGTGATATCTGCGCCTTTTATCCCAACACATCTGATTTCAGCTAAGTCCTATTTTGTCGCCTTTTACAACATGCCTTTTAGGTGGCAGTGGAGCTTTTGTCGCCTTTTACAACATGCCTTTTAGGTGCCAGTGGAGCTATTCTTTTTTTTTTTTCTACAAACATGTGGCCCTGGAACCCACAAGACGAGTCATGGTTAATGTGAACAATGGATCAAAGATTCCTTACCACGACGCTTTAATGGATCGAAAACTACTCCAACCCACACCACTGAAACAGTGGATTAAAATCGATCCCTCCCTATGACGTTTCAGTGAAATGAAAACTATTTCTTCCCATGATGTTTCAATGGAACAAAAACTATTCCTCCCCATGATGTTTCAATGGAACAAAAACTATTTCTCCCCATGATGTTTCAATGGAACAAAAACTATTCCTCCCCATGATGTTTCAATGGAACAAAAACTATTTCTCCCCATGATGTTTCAATGGAACAAAAACTATTTCTCCCCATGATGTTTCAATGGAACAAAAACTATTTCTCCCCATGATGTTTCAATGGAACAAAAACTATTCCTCCCCATGATGTTTCAATGGAACAAAAACTATTCCTCCCCATGATGTTTCAATGGAACAAAAACTATTCCTCCCCATGATGTTTCAATGGAACAAAAACTATTTCTCCCCATGATGTTTCAATGGAACAAAAACTATTCCTCCCCATGATGTTTCAGTGGAACAAAAACTATTCCTGCCAATGATGTTTCAATGGAACAAAAACTATTCCTCCCCATGGCGCTCAGCGTAATGTCTAATCATTGCTATCCATCGAGCAATAACAGCAGAAGTGGAAATTGATGATGATGACCTAAATGTTTTTACTGCATAACCTCTTGAGGCTCTCACAGGGATGTTTTTCGCAGTGAATAATTTGGAAGAGTGCCCATTAGTAAAAAAAAATATGCTGAAATCCATCAAGGAAATCTTGCCTAAATTTATTATTAAGTCAGTGATACTTCTTCTATGTTTGCCCTTTAAGACTGGTTGGCACATTGTATTGTTGTTTGCAACTATTCTGTAATATCTGCATCTTTCAACTCAACACATCCAATTTCAGTACAACTGGTATTAATTAGGGATAAGTAAAAAAAAAAAAAAATTGCTTCGTGAATAGCATTACTTATAGGATGCACAACAGGAATACAAGACAAAAAAGGACAAGCAAAAATTACATGTAGAGATTAAAATTTGAGAAAAGTATTATCATATTGCAGTGCTTTTCTATAATTTTCCCCTTTAATCTCACAGTTGTTGCAGATTGAATTGTTGAAAATCTGAACTTCTTGTAAAACTAAGTTAAGGACTTCTTTCCTCAGGTGTGAACAGAGGTCTGGATGTGGACAAGTTTGCTCCCAGGTTGTCCTTCTTCTGGGGTGTAGGCATGAACTTTTATTTGGTGAGATCTCTTTGTTAAGATGTTTAATGTCATCATGTAGATTCTTTGTTAACTTTAATTTGAAAACACCTTGCTTTAGTCATATATATATATATATATATATATATACTCATAAGACAGCTGGTTACTTCGTAACTGCTGGGTGTCCCAGTAAAATTGCTTTACAGGGCTGCATGGGCAGTCTGGGATTGATTTCCTGTTTCATTCATGTCCACAAATTGGCTGTTTGAATCATTGAGCATCAGTCTTTTAGTAATCACAGAGGAGAAATTGCCACACATAAAAATGTGCGGACATATTTATTCATTTTATATATATATATAATATATACGAGGGACTATAAAAAAAAGTAAAGCCGCATATTTTTTGTAGATCTATGTAAATACTATATCCGTGTACAATGTGTAAATTTAACAGTATACCTCAGATACTTTTCTGCAGTGTATGGCATTACCATCCTGTTTCAGTAATAGTTGGCACCACTGTTACAGTTTGAAAATGGCTACCAGAGATGTTCGGCTAAAACAGTGTCATGTCATAGAATTCCTCAGTGCTGAAGGCGAGATCACATTTCGCATCCACAAACGTTTGAAGAATGTTTATGGAGATTCAGCATATATGTATATAAACTTCACTCCATTGGTGTTTATTGATTATTCTCCTTTAAATGTTCTAATTTTGTTTAAAAAATGTATATAGATACACAAAACGTTTTTTTTAATTGACCTGTGTAAAAATGGGTTTTTTGTTTATTTTTTATTAAATGATTTTTCAGGAATCTCCAGGTTTTTGCCCCCCCCCCCCCCCTTTCCGAGAAACAGTAGGGTTAAATTTTAATGCAGACATTTTTCATAATTTTTCATTCTAAATTTTCAGGTCTTCTAATATTGTGTCTCTGAAATAATGGGAAGTCACCAAGATGTCTTGTAATAATAATATTTCCCCTGAATTATCAGGAAATTGCCAAGATGCGAGCTGGACGCAAACTGTGGGCAACACTCATGAGGGACAAATTTCATGCAAAATCTTCCAAATCATTGCTTCTTCGGGCCCATTGCCAGACCTCTGGGTGGTCATTGACTGAACAGGTACAGTGTAATGCTCCATTAGTTACTGTATTCACATTATTCTTTGTAGCAGAAAGCAAAGATGTCTCTTCATATTTATAACAAACATGTCTATATTCACATCTGTAACGAACATATTTATGTATTAATGTCTATAATGTCTGTCTGTATTCATCTCTATAACAGACATGTTTGTAGTCTTGTCTATGATAAACATATGTAAATATTCATGTCTGTAACAGACATTTGTGTGTACTCATGTCTGTAACATACATTTCTACGTGTTCATGTCTGTAACAAGCATATTTGTGTACTCATGTCTATAACAATTAAATGTACATTTTCATGTCTGTAACAAGCATATTTATACTCATATAACTGTATCAAACATATTTGAATTTCTTAGGTCTGTAATAAGCACCAGCAGACTCGTATCTAAAACAGACACACACATATACATGCAGCACGCGCGCACACACACATATAATAGAACCCTTTTCCACGCTTCAGGCATATAGGTTGGTTAGTTGCGTATCCTTTACAGGACGTTGCAGAACCAACCCCAACAGCCCCTGGCTGTTGTGTGGTTTTTCTAGGCAAATTTACATCCAGTAGTTTGCCATTGCTTTCTGGACGGTCGGCTTTCTTGATACCACTGTCAAAACCAATGCAAGGCGCATGGCCCGCAGCTGGGATCGATCCCGGCATCCCGGAGCGTTCGCATTAACTTAGCTACAGAGTCCGACTCAGTCATATAGGACAAGGCCTATATTTTATAGACCATCAGGCATATATATATGTATATAAAGTGGATGTCAGCAGAACTTATACCACATACCACAGCAATCAGTAAATTCTAATTTATGAAGCACGCAAACGGGCTCTTTCCAGTAAACTATACTTCACCTCGACACCGCAAGATGTAAGGGGATCAAGATGAACTGAGATACTGATGATGATGATCTGTGTGTGTATATATATATGTGTTTGTTTATTTTTATAAGCAGTTTGTGTATGTTCTGATGTCTGTAACATACTTGGATGCTCTTGTCATGACAACACTTACACACCCTTGTTTATGACAAGCATATAATACCCATCCAGGACTTTGAAATAAAATAAAGACTTATAGACTTTGTACACTCATCTATGCCAAACATATTACAGTTAGGTCTAAAACATCTATGACATATAGACTGTTGTCGGTGATGGATAGATCAATCAGTTTGTCCCCTGCAGACTGTTAATTACCTGGTTTACCCTACCCACCTGGATTTTAAAATCTTAATCTGGGTGGTAGAGCAAGCAGGAAGATCCTTAATACCCCGTTCAATCTCCACAGAAGCTATAATTAGGGCACCCAAAGCAGCTGACCAGCCAGGCATAACTTGCAGTGCTCATGAGTTTGGGACGGGTCTTTGTCAGTGGCACATATGCAGTATACATACATATGAGTGTATATATATATATATATATATTTACACACTCACACACCAGTCCACATTTATATGCTTCCTCTTAAAGTCCATGCCATGTGACGTTGGTGGTCATGTCTATCCACAACCTTCTGTCTTGTGTACTTTCAATCATTTGACACAGATGATCCTCCATGCCATCATGTCGGACTGTCCGGCATCTTTTCTCTCGGTCCTTTGAAAATAAAGTTCGTTCGTTCGTTCTCCTCTCCTCCAACTTTCCTATTATCACAGTGTACTCCAGTTTTCTCCTTCTCATGACTTGATCAAAGAATGTAGATTGTCTCTTTCTGATGTGGTCAATCAGTTCTCTTCGTGAGTTAGTTTCTTTCAAGACATTGTCAATACTCTTTTTATCTGTCCAAGTTATTTTCCTCATTTGTCTATAAAACTACATCTCCGCAACTTTAAAATAAGTTTTGGCTAATATACCAACTGACCTTGATACACTTCCATATATCAAGATAGGATTTATATAGCTTTTAAGAATTCTCTTTCTCGTCTCAATTGACAGAGACATATTGCATACAATTTTCTTCATTTTGTAAAATTGTATGTGCTTTGTGATACATATTAACTTTGAAATATATGACCTCTTGACCTTTTATAGGACCCATATAACAACATAATCCGTACAACAATTGAAGCTATGGCTGCCGTATTTGGTGGCACCCAGTCCCTGCACACAAATTCATTTGACGAGGCCCTGGGACTTCCAACTGTCTTCAGTGCTCGCATTGCCAGAAACACACAGTTAATTCTTCAGGAAGAATCTGGCATACCAAAAGTATGATGTGTTTTACCTTCTGTTTTTTTTTCCTTCCATTTGCTTTACATATTGAACTTCTCATTTAGTAATTCCCCCTGAGTGGTCTGGATCCCTGTTGTGGGGGAAAACAAGAATAGACTCACTGCCTCTCAAACAAACATGTTCTAAGAGTAGAATAAGAGGTTTTCTGTGAGGATGGAGTTCATCTGCCTGAGAGGCAAGGAACCTCCATTTATTAAAATAAGCCAGATCTGTAAAACAGATGCGCATGCAACGCTCTAGTTCTAAGACTAAAGTACAGAAGTGGATGAACAACCAGAACTTTCCGCCAGATATCACAGCAGGTGAAAGCAGAGCATAAGACTTAGCAGTGTAGTTTGCTGATGCCTTTATAGCATCTGTGTCTATCGGTTGTTAAGTGTGTTATCATTATCTTATTTTTTCTATTGTTATTTATATATAATTTCATGTTTTCTATTTATTTTATTGTTATTTTATATTAAAGTGCCATCCGTAATGAAAAGCTGACAGATCAAATAAACAGTGCAACAGAACAGATTGAGCATCCATATCTGGAGATAATGATTCAACTGGGAGTGAAGAGAGGGTCTGGGCAATTTTCTTCGCCCAGTGGGAAAATACAGGCGAAAGTGTAATTGGGTTGCAACCGGCGCCACCACTGTTGGAACTCTTTGTTGGCTACTGAACAATAGGACAAAGCATGTATGGGAATGTCCTGAGTGCAACTGTGTAAATTCTTGATTCATTAATTTAAATGAATTGTGGTATCAGAGTTATAACTGTGCTGTGTGGCTTTATGGTTAAACAGGGTCTGGGATTTGTAGCTGTTGGATCTCTTCCTTGAGACGTTAATGGGCAGAATGCAAATCTGGAGCGAAAACACACACACACAAAAGTAAATGTGTGGTGTCCAGTGCTGTCATGATTTTTCAGATTTATCTACATATAATCCATTCAGGTAGCTGACCCATGGGGAGGATCTTACATGATGGAAAGCTTGACTAGTGAAATACATGATGCCGCCCTGAAAGTAATTAATGAAGTAAGTAACAATTTATAGATGTTTGGGGTGGGGGGGCGTTCCTCTTTTGCCTCGGTAAGCCTTAAACCTGGCACTTCCAGCAGAGTCCAGTTCCCAGTAAATACCGCTTAACTGGCATTTCAACAGTGTCAGGTTTACCCGATGCCTAGTTAATGATCTTTTGCTTACTTACTTTTACCATATATCCATTACCTATTGTTTTGTGCAAACAAAACAATTAAGGTTACTGTTATCAGATAATCACATTCACAATACAGATTTACTTTTCAAAATGACTTTTGTATCTCTCTCTCACTCTCTGTTTGTGTAAGTGCACACATGCATGTGTGCTTGTGTGTGTGTATGTGTGTAAATATCTATCTTTGTCATCAGAATTATCCACACCCGTCTGTTTCTCACTCATAGTAGCTTCATCTGTCGTTTATTTAAAAAGGAAAGTTCCCTGTTTTGGTTCTGGGGCATGATGGTGAGGAAAACAAGAACTGACCCATTGCCTTCCCAGCAAGCATGTCATAGGAGTTGACTTATTGGGAACACCTTAACCATAAAGTTGGAGTACATCTGCCTGAGGGGCAATGAACCAAGAGTCTGCATACAAATAAGCAGATCTGGGAAACAGAAATGCATACAACAAATCAAGTTCTGCAACAAAACTAACTTCCAGGAGTGGATGAGCACCCAGAGCTTTCTCTTGGAGTTTACAGCCGGTAAATGCGGAGAAGAAGACAGATCTTAGCCCAAAATATGAGTGTTGAGAAACTATAAAATGTGTACAAATTTCATGTTCACGCTTGTTTCTGCTCAGGTAGAAGATATGGGGGGAATGGCCAAGGCTGTTGCCTCAGGCATGCCAAAGTTGAAAATAGAGGAGTGTGCAGCTCGACGGCAAGCCAGAATAGACACCAGTGCAGGTAAAATATGAAGCTGTTCAGTCAATAATGTCAGTTCAGTTCAGTTTTATTTTATATATAGATGTAAAATAAAGAACCATTTTCACACCCTGGGTCTATTTTATAGACCAATTGGCACTTGATGGGCGATATGGTAAACATCAAGCAGATGCCTCTGCGTCCCAAGATATTGATTAAATGGCTCCCGCGTTAGGCTGGATCCACTTAGGATCCATTGTTAAATTTATAGGAAAAATACTTCACCTCATTGTGGATTTGAGCCCGGGATCTTTGGGTCATCAGGCGACCATCTAGCCAATGTGCTGCTGCGACTCATTGTAGTTACAAGTAGAAATGCTTTTATGTTTTGGAACCTTGAAAAGATTAAAGGTAAAAGTCCAAGCTTGCTGGGCCTGGTTTCATGTGTTGAATCTACATGATGGATTTGAAAAGAAACAAAGATATGAACAGAGTCTAAAATGGATCCCAGGAAATGTGCTTTCTGGGTTGACCACATCACCCAGTGAGCACAGATTGGTCATATCCTTATAAGGGATTAACACCATATACCCAGTACACCTCAAGAAAACCCTTCATTTTACCTCTATGATGTCAACAGACTGTGAAATAGAGAAATTATAGAAATGGATAAATACTAGACAAATGAGACAGAGAAAGATGTGCTCCCCCCCTCCCCCCCCCCCCCAAAAAAAAAAAAACCCTCATATTTTCAAAAAAACTGTCAAAAATCATCTGATTATTATAAGATTTGGTCCAAATTTTGATATAATGTTACCCTGCATTTTGTCTATTTAAATTTTTAATTATTATCTTCATCCTAGTGTGCCCTTATATCATCTTGATCCTATCGTGCTGTTTAATTATCTTCATCCTAGCGTGCTCTTATATCATCTTCCTCCTGTCAAGCCCTTATATCATCTTCATCCTATTGTGTCCTCAAAACATCTTCCTCCTGTCATGCCCTTATATCATCTTCATCCTACTGTGCCCTTATATCATCTTCCTCCTGTCAAGCCCTTATATCATCTTCCTCCTGTCAAGCCCTTATATCATCTTCATCCAATCCTGCCCTTATATCATCTTCCTCCTGTCAAGCCCTTATATCATCTTCATCCTATTGTGTCCTTATATCATCTTCATCCTATTGTGTCCTTATATCATCTTCATCCTATTGTGTCCTTATATCATCTTCATCCTATTGTGTCCTTATATCATCTTCATCCAATGCTGCCCTTATATCATCTTCATCCAATGCTGCCCTTATATCATCTTCATCCAATCCTGCCCTTATATCATCTTCCTCCTGTCAAGCCCTTATATCATCTTCATCCTATTGTGTCCTTATATCATCTTCATCCTATTGTGTCCTTATATCATCTTCATCCTATTGTGTCCTTATATCATCTTCCTCCTGTCAAGCCCTTATATCATCTTCATCCAATCCTGCCCTTATATCATCTTCCTCCTGTCAAGCTCTTATATCATCTTCATCCAATGCTGCCCTTATATCATCTTCATCCTATTGTGTCCTTATATCATCTTCATCCAATCCTGCCCTTATATCATCTTCATCCTATTGTGCCCTTATATCATCTTCATCCTATTGTGCCCTTATATCATCCTTATCCTATCCTGTCTTTATATCATCTTCATCCAATCCTGTCCTTATATCATCTTCATTCTATCTATAATAAACAACAATGGAGACTGTTCGACAGAAATTAAAAGGAGGATGGCCATAGAAATGCAAAGATTGAACAGCTTTAAAAGTCTATGGTTAAGCACCAGCAAGGAGATAAAAATTAGAATTTTGAGAGCATGCATCTTCCTTGTGGCTACATACGGATGTGAGTCGTGGACTATCTCTCAGTCCTTAAGAGAGAGAATAGGGGCTTTTGAGCTGAAATGCTATAGAAAGATTCTCAGAATATCTTGGACAAAGAAGATGAGAAATATTGACATCTTAAAAGATCTGAACATCAAGGAAGATTGGCTAATAAACAGCATCCTTTCTCGAAAGCTGAAATATTTTGGTCATATCAAGCGCCACGACGGATTGGAAAAAAATTATAGCAGAAGGCATGGTACCAGGAAGGAGGGGCAGAGGCCGACCAACATAAAAATGGGCACAGGATATAAGTGACTCCTTGAGTGTGAAAGTTCATGAGGCGGGAGAACTGGCAAAAGACTGAGTTTCTTACAGGCAGACTGTGATGAGAGCGACGTTCTGCAAAGGACCTGCTACATGATGATGATGATCTATCTAGCCCTTTTATCATCTTCATCTTATCCTGCCCCTATAACATCTTCATCCTATCATGCCCTTATATCATCTTCATCCTATCATGCCCTTATATCATCTTCATCCTGTTGTGCCCTTATATCATCTTCATCCTGTTGTGCCCTTATATCATCTTCATCCTATCATGTCCTCATATCATCTTCATCCTGTTGTGCCCTTATATCATCTTCATCCTGTTGTGCCCTTATATCATCTTCATCCTGTTGTGCCCTTATATCATCTTCATCCTGTTGTGCCCTTATATCATCTTCATCCTGTTGTGCCCTTATATCATTTTCATCCTATCGTGCTTTTATATCATCCTCATCCTATTGTGTCGTTTTATCATCCTCATCCTATCCTGTCTCATATCATCTTCATCCTATCGTGCCCTTATACATCACATTGGGCTCGTAGTCTCCATTCTGTTCTGTCCTGCGTAATCTTTTCAATGCCATAGATGGAATCCAGTCCAGCACCCTTGGCCTCTTTCAGCAAAATTTATTAGGGATACTAGGCATATTTACAGACAAAGAATGAAATGGTTCGGCCATCTAGTGAGAATGCAGCCAGACCAAACTGCATATAAGACATTTTAGAGCAGAACATCTGGGAAGAATTTGGAGGTGGGTACCAAGAAAGAGATGAATAAATGGTGTGCCGAAACTGCAAACAAGAATGAACAAATCCATCAGCCAAGCCAGCCGAGAAGCACAAGACAAGAACAGAAAACTATGACACTGAGCTACAACCTGGTCACTGAGATGACAAAAGAAAGAAGAAGACTGCATAAGAAGAAGACATGCCACAAAATGGTGATATATATAAAACAAATTTGCATTACCAGTGTTGGGCTTTATCAAGAGGCAGAATATTAAATGGTCGGTTCTTTCATGACCACAGAAAGCATCATTCCTCAGTGTTGGAGGGAAAAAGCAAAAGGTCAGCCTTGAGAAATATTTGTATGTGGCAAAGTGGTAGCAAAGAACACAACAGTTAGAAATATTTTAGAACTCTCTTCATATATCTTGTAACATAAACAAGCAAAATATTAATGGGGGTGTTCAAGTTAGAGTGTGTTTATATTACTTTAATATGTAGGAGCACTAATATGTCACTATTTTTTTTATGTAGATCATATGTTTCTATGATTTAATAATGAGCTCGGTTTGTCTTGGGTATAATAAACATGCAGAAGTGATAGTTGGTGTGAACAAATACAGACTCCCAGAACAAGAAACAGTTGATGTCCTCAGTATTGACAACACAGCAGTTAGAGAGAAACAGTGTGCTCGTCTGGCTTCAGTGAAGGCTTCCAGAGATTCAGAGAAGGTGACCACACGTTCAAGTCTCAATTCTAACCACATAACTAACAACAAACTTTTTTTTTGTACACTTGTTTTAATCCTTTCACCCTCACCTGGCGCTCCAACGTTGTTGATCGCGCTGGACGTCAGGTGACAATCCACATGTATGTCCGGTTTCGGGTTCAAGCCGGGGGATGGCATAAAAGCCGCATACTCCCCAGATTAACGGTGTTCGTGGCACCGAGACTGAAGGGCTTTGATGCTCACAACAATAAGCCAAATGAGCTATGCTCAAGTGCTTCTGGTTCCAAAAGAAACCAAAAAAAAACCTTTCACCCCGAGGACCTAAAAAAAAAAAATCAATGCCAAAGACCCATATTTTTAGAATGTAGGGTTTTCTGGAAAAGACGGAAGCAGTGCTGTTAGCAGGGCTCCTTGTACATAGGCTTTTATAGCAAGTCGGGAAAGGGATATTCACAGGGCCCTGCCACAAACCAGAAGCATGATTCTTGGGGCGCGCGGGTTAAAAATTCAAATATTTGTCAGATAAGGTGATAGTTTGTTCAGATCTCATTTCTAACAACAGGCAGGAGTAACAGATTTTCTTTTTGTACACATGTTTTAAACATTAAAATATGTTATCCAAATTGCTTCGACTGGGTAACTCTGGGCAAATATGGATGACCCAGTTCATCTACAAGTGGCTGTTCGAGAATGATCTGGATTTCTGCATGTGTTTTGTCAAATTATGTAGTACTGATCAAATAATACACTAACAGTGCGGACAGGCAAATAGATCATTATGATTTGGAGAGAATGGTCTGTCTGCAGGAAGTGATCAGAGGGTCTAGCCGACACTCTACACTCAGAGGAAAGGCAAGATGGACATCAAATCAGAATGCTGCCCTCAGAGTTGGAACTCTTGACTGGCTTCTGCAGATAATGAGGGAGCATGTATGGAAATGTCCCGAGTGCGGTGATGTCATCTCAGATACTACAGTGTCATGCCTGTAAGCCCTCCATTAGAGAATGGTTCCCCCCCCCCCCCCCCCCCACCCCGGCCAACCTGAATTTGACCCTGAGTGCTCAAGCAGAAGGTCATTGCTTCCTCTTCTGCCATCATCTATCCCCCAGTGGAGCAAAGGCCTTCACCAAGTCGTTCTATTCTTCACTATTGCATGCAGCTCACCCCATGTCCTCCCTGTCTTTTTAACTTTATTCTCTAGCTCACTCCATGTTTTTGTGTGTGGTTGGTATGCCTTTATTTCTATGTCCCCTTGGGTTCCAGTGTAAAGACATTCTAGTTATATTGCTGTCAGGTTTTCTCAGAGTGTGTCCTGTCCAACGCCAGCATCTTTTCTTCATCTCTTGGTCCACTGGAACCAAGTCAGTGTTCTGCTAATCTCTTCTAAATGCCAGGATATTTTGTTAGCCATTGAGTCTACATAGGGGCCCAGTTAAATTGAAACCGTACCTGTATAGTTGGGGATTTGAACACATAGTCACTGGGCCAGTAAGCAAGCACTACTGCTGTTCCTACAGCTATATAGTAGTGCTTCTAATTATTTATGGAATCATTATCTAAGAAAGGGAGCCGCCATGGTCTAGCAGCTAGACACTCAGCTGTAGATAGGAAAGTTGTGGGTTCGGTTCCTGATGGAGGCCGGACTTTTTTTTCCAGAAATGACTGTGGCTCCCAGTCTGGAGTGGGTACCAGGTGCAGTCCTGGGAAGTAAAGGCCACTGGCGTGATGCTGACCACATCACCCACCAAGTACCGTTTGGTCCATAAAATATAGGTCCAGCCCTATTTACTCAGTACGCCTGAAAGGCATGGAAAAGGGTCCTGTACTTTACTAATTTATCTCAGAAATACCTCATTAACATTGAGATAAATGAACTATTATGCAGGTTAAACAAGCTCTAGAAGCCCTCACCCAATGTGCCAGAACTCGTGAAGGAAACCTGCTGGCCTTGAGCATTGAGGCAGCCCGTCATAGGGCCACAGTAGGAGAAATCTCTGACGCTTTGGAGGAGGTCAGACATTTGTTATTGTTGAGTTTGATGTTGATAGACTATAGTGCTCATTGGACTTTCATTTTAGCTTCAGGTTGGCCGTGGAGAGTATGCCGAAGCAGTTCAGGTTTGTTATTTTTTTAATTGAAAACTGACCTTTTTTTGCACTCTGTTCCTGTATTGCCATCAACAACATGTGTTGTGCTGATAAGTGTTGGAGATTTGTCATCTCAGATGATCACCAGTCTTGGATCAGTACTGTGTTCTTGTCCTAGTTATGCCATATGGCCAATCCATTGAGTTATTTATTTTTTGTTTTCTCGTAACTCTCCCTCACATGCATGCAGTGATATGGAATCTCTTTGTAAATTGTTGAAGCACTGATGTATCCCACAGAAGAAAGCAAAAAAGAAATTGATTTTTTTTTTTTTAGGGTATATTATTGGTACGCTTTGTATTGCTGATGTTTGTTGTGCTTTATTAAAGTTGTAATTTTGTAACGTTGTCCTATACTTCATGATTTTAAATTGTTATGGAACAAGAAATAAAAGCAAATTTTAGATAAAATCTGTTATGAGTATTTCACTAGAACTTCAGTGTTGGATTTGGTAACTTGTTTCTGCCAGGTGTTTGGCCGTCATGTTGCTACTGACCGTTTGGTCAGTGGAGCCTACAAAACTGAATTTGGTGAAGCTGAAGAGTTGCAGGCGGTTACAGAAAGGGTGAAGGTCAGTGTGCTTACTTTTATCCTTATGTCATATCTGTGTTTATTAAGTGATTGGTTTTCAGTGTTTGTGGATTTAGAATGGTTCTTGAAAGTTCCCTGGGCATTGTGTTTCACAAGGTGGGAAAGTTTTGTATTGACACCTTTCTGTCTCTCCAGATAATAGTGTTGTAATGTGCTATGGGAATCGCAGCCCATGGTGATGGAGATTGTGACCAGCAAGGTCCGCCCATGTTAAAAAAATTCTTCAACAACCAGAGCATGAGATTTCAGGACTGTTGTCACCATTACATGTATTTTCCTTCCTGATTTTTCCTGTCCTTGCAACTCTTTCCATGGGGTTCTGTTCCCATGAATCTACATCAGTACCTGAATCATTCATGTCCCGCTTGCGCACATCTTTATATCATAAAAAGTTGGCCAGTTATTGAGCAGTCAGCATTGTTGAGTGATTACGTTGCTGAAATCCTCGCCATCATACATTATCATCAACTCCTGTTGTACCATTATATTTCAGACAGCTGTAATGTTGTGAATTCCCGGAGAAATCCCAGAGTTTCCGATGGGGAGGACAAGGTCAGAGGACCAGTGATACAAGAGAAAAATCGAGATAAATGGGTCTCGAGTATCCCATGGTGATCGAAAAGGGGATACAAGAAAAGCATGAGAATGGAACGGAAGATGTGAACAGAGAGACGGTAGTAAGACAGTTGAAGTTTGGACCTGTTTGCGAGAGGTCGTATGTGAGAGAACACACGATTGGAATGGAGAACTTGTGTGCTCCTGGTGTGCTAGCTAGTGTTGTACACCAACTCTCAGGTTTGAGGGAAACTGTTTGTGAATACATGTTTCAGTAGTTATGAGATTGTCAGATGGAATTATTGTAGTATATGGTGTCATGGGTGTGTGTTTATATGGCTAATTGGGTGTTTGATGTTTAGTGTTTAATTGGGAATCAACATCACAGCACTCGAGGCATTCCCATAAGCATTCAGTCCCCATCTTTAGCAGCAAGCAGAGAGCTCCAATTCCAGTGGTACCAATAGCAGTCTGACTGCATATCCATCAAACTTTTCCCCAAGTGTTGATCATCGACTTAATTCCCTGGTTGGCTAATTGGATGTATGTGGGTAATTGGATACATGTGGGTAGTTGGATGCGTGTGATGCTAATTGGTTGTGTGGAGCTATTTAAATGCATGTGGGTAGTTGGATGTGTGTGATGCTAATTAGGTGTGTGTAATTGGGTGTGTCTAAGTAATTGGGTGTGTCTAAGTAATTGGGTGTGTCTAAGTAATTGGGTGTGTCTAAGTAATTGGGTGTGTCTAAGTAATTGGGTGTGTCTAAGTAATTGGGTGTGTCTAAGTAATTGGGTGTGTCTAAGTAATTGGGTATGTCTAAGTAATTGGATGTGTGTAAATAATTGGATGTGTATAAGTAGTTGGAGGTGTGTAAGTACTTTAATGTGTATAAGACAGGGATGCTTCGAGCAGAGTGGCAAGCTTCACTAGAAAGGTCATCGGTAGTGAGCATACTTAGAATCTTTTCTCCAGTCAATTACTCTGGGTAATGAACAGGCAGACAGATTGGGTGGATCTGCACCACTGGGTGGTGAATTGATACAACTCACGGGAGATGTAGTCAAGGCCCTTTGGGAACAAGCAACTGATTCAGTAAAGAAACAAGATTATTATGGCCTAGAAGAGAATGATGCACCTGGGTGTAACCAGAGGGTCTGGCTGGCTCACTACGCTCAGAGGGCACCTGGGTGTAACCAGAGGGTCTGGCCGGCTCACTACGCTCAAAGGGCACCTGGGTGTAACCAGAGGGTCTGGCTGGCTCACTATGTTCAGAGGGCACCTGGGTGTAACTAGAGGGTCTGGCCGGCTCACTATACTCAGAGGAAAGGCAAGATGGACATATAACCAGATTGTGACCTGTACCATCAGTATTGAAACTCTGCTCTGGCTGCTGAAGATGAGGACGGAGTACACATGCCCTGAGTGCTGTGATGTCAATTCTTGACTCAACTCCCCTCCCTCAATGCTTACTTGTATGCTTAAAGTTTGTTTGGACATTATCACCACCTGCACTTTATTACCATGTGTCTTCCTAACAAATATGCTGCTGTGTCCTTTATGCTGGTCATCAAGTTTGATTGAGTACATTATCTTGCCATTTACCTGAATCCTCTCATTATTTTTGTTGTGAACATTATTTTGCCATTGTGACTTTGCCTCATTGTGACTTTGCCCCATTCTAACTGCTTCAAACATTGCCTTTCCTGTATAAGTATTGAATTGTCTTGAAGACAGTAAGCTTTCTTTGTCTGATTCTGAGTTTATAATTGTTATGGATTTATTGAACTTAAATCTAAAGATTCTCTTGTTTTGGCTTTTGCAGAAATTTATTGAGTTAGAAGGCAGGCGTCCTCGTATTTTGGTTGCCAAAGTGGGTCAGGATGGGCATGATCGAGGTGGTAAGGTCATTGCTACAGGTTTTGCTGACCTTGGATTTGATGTTGATGTGGGAGCTTTGTTTGCTGTGAGTCCTTGTTATCTGTTTCACCTTCCATGTTTTCAGGCACTGGCAGTAGTGTGCTTATGCTTGCATTTTATTTATTTTCACTGGACAGGTTTGAAAGAAGAAAGGAAGAGAAGGAGAGAAGACAGTTACTGACATTTTAGAAGATGTCACAGAAAACTGGTTCACAAATATCTTTCAGAAACTTTATAAATGAGTCGTATTAACGCTGCACCCAGTTTTCTGACTTGTGGATTGTTGATGACATGGCATCTTTAGGCAAAGGTTGTAACTGCATAATGTGTAAACATGGTGGGTATCATTTTAATACCCCCAAAAATATTTGAGATATTATTTGAGTGGAAAACAATTGTTGTTGTTGTTGTTGTTGTTGTCATTTATGATGATGTCACTTTGCTTTCTGTGGCTGTGTCAACAAAACCCCTTTCTTGGTCAGAAGGAAAGAAAGCAGTTATTTCTTTGCTCCATTTCTATTTATTTATTACTTCCCTACATATGTATATTTGTTTGAATCCAGCATTTTTTTTAGACTTGGGGCCATGATAATGCAGTAGCTTTCAGGCTTGCCTGTCTGCTCAGTAGTCATAGGTTTCCACCCCCTGAATCTTTATAAACAACTCACCAAATCTTCTTCTTTTTCTCTTCCTCTAGTTTCTTAAGGTATAATTTCCAGAGAATGTGTTTGTAATTGTTATTAACAACATTTAAAAAAACATAATTAAAAAAAAAAAAAAACTTTTTTTTAAGAGGGATGAAAATATTGAATGTCCATTGGATCAGAAAAAACAGTAATGGAGACCCTAGTTCCTGGGCATAAAAGGCAGGTGTCAGCAGCTTGAGGGTGGTTGTAAAGTCATCCTGGGCATAAAAGGCAGGTGTCAGCCAACCTGAGGGTGGATATAAAGTCATCCTTGGCATAAAAGGCAGGTGTCAGCCAACCTGAGGGTGGATATAAAGTCATCCTGGGCATAAAAGGCAGGTGTCAGCCACATGAGGGTGGATGTAAAGTCATCCTTGGCATAAAAGGCAGGTGTCAGCCAAGTTGAGGGTGGATGTAAAGTCATCCTGGGCATAAAAGGCAGGTGTCAGCCAACCTTTGAGGGTGGATATAAAGTCATCCTGGGCATAAAAGGCAGGTGTCAGCCAACATGAGGGTGGATGTAAAGTCATCCTTGGCATAAAAGGCAGGTGTCAGCCAACCTGAGGGTGGATATAAAGTCATCCTGGGCATAAAAGGTAGGTGTCAGCCAGCTCGAGGGTGAATGTAAAGTCATCCTGGGCATAAAAGGCAGGTGTTAGCCAACCTGAGGGTGGATGTAAAGTCATCCTGGGCATAAAAGTACCTAAGTCATCAGTGAAACATTAGAGTATTTATTGTCAGCTGTGGTATGAGTGATGTTCTGCAAAGAACCTGCTGTATTGACACATTGATGTGGATAAAAGTCTTGAGATGAAGCAGATAGAAACCTAACCTGTAACCAACAGGCTTGAATACTTTGCTACAGTGACCTTTGTGACCTTTACTAATTAAAATCACTTGAATGTTTGAAAATATATAGTTCAGCCTATAATAAATTCTTTCATTTACACACGTCAGACTCCTCGTGAAGCTGCCCAGCAAGCAATAGATGCTGATGTTCACATTGTTGGAGTGAGTTCCCTTGCTGCTGGCCACAAAACTCTGATTCCTGAACTTATTGAAGAGTTGAAACGCATGGGTCGGCCGTAAGTTCTGCCTTCTATAAGATTCACTGTTTATACAGAATGATTGAAACATACACCCATCTTTAAGTAGTGACATTGTTCTTTCTACTTTAAAACATGTTTTCTCTGTATATTGTGTCTGAGATATGCAAACCAACAATAAGTTTTTAATGAGAGAGGCCAAAGCTGTTGGACTGAATTCCATCCATGAAATTGAACTGCTTGTACAGGATAGAAGGGAATAGAGGAATATACTGCGAGCCCTGTGTGACATATACTGGCACGACAGGATAATAAATGAATGAAAACCAGGTAACGGTCTTACATAAATTATTTTAAATTAGGTCATAAAATTATTGAGTGCTCTAAATCTTCATGACACCACACGTAAGTTGTTCCTGCCCCCTTGTCACATACCGCTCATGTCACGTGCCTGATTAGGGATTTCTCCTATTGAACCAACAGCACTCTGAAATAGTATAAATGTTGGAATGTCGGCTCGTATTGGTCTAGACGGTATCCCGCGGCCAATATACACATCCAACCTATTTCAGGGGTGGGGCAACACAAGTTATGGCGCTACAGAATATATATTTCTAGGCGCAGCTTGGCCGGACATCCCCACTACTACAAGAAAATAGCCCCCAGACTATGATAGTTCACTATCATAGTCATGTTAACACAGAATATGATCTAATATATTAATACACACTCCAGACAGCTAAGAAAAATGAAGGATGGACACTAACTTTAATATTTAAAAATTCCAAAGACATGTAATAAGCTCAACATATACATCATGAATCAGGAAAAGGAATTCAATGGCATTAAGAATTGACAGACATATTATATATATAACCGACACTCAGTTTTCCAGAGAGCCGCCATGGTCATCATGACACATGTAAGAATAGTGAATCCAGGAACCAGGCACTGATTAATGAGTGACTTATCTGTTTCTGGGTCCGGTCCACAGCAACACTTACATCACACCAATTGGGATGTCTGGAACAAAGTCACTGGACTGGTTGGCTCCTTAGCATCTCAGGAACTGTACTAAGAATAAAGTGTCAACTACTGTCTGAGAGTTAATTTAGCATCACTACAGTTCACCACAAATGATAGGCACTGTCCGGCTTCTCCAGGGGGCTCCCTGGATATGGAGTTCTCGTACCGAAACAATGGCTGCTACGGGCTGTCTGATCAGAGTCGTCAACAGGCTCCCATGGTGTAGTCTTCTGGCTGCCGGTGGCACATAAGAGTTTGTGACAATCAAGCTGGTGGCTTCCAAGCTGGTGGCTTATGGACTGTTGATTGACTGCCTGGCTTCCAAGGAGAAATCATCCTGTGAGGAAGTGGAACACCAGAATTAGCAGTCATCTCAACTCATAGTTGATTGACTGCCTGGCTTCCAAGGAGAAATCATCCTGTGAGGAAGTGGAACACCAGAATTAGCAGTCATCTCAACTCATATGCCTAGCACCTGCTTAACTCCATCCACACACACATATATATATAGCACAGAGGACAGCTCTCAGGATAAGAAGACTGTACTAGTCTCCATGTAACAGTGTCAGTCAGTCAGTATAAGAGACATGAGACAAGTGCCACAGTAGAGACAGACAGAATTCTCTCAGATAGAGAACATTATCTCTCCACACCCACATCTGCACCTGTAGTCACACAGACTACCACTCACCCACATATGTATATTATATTTTCCACAGTTTGACCCTAGCCTTCCAGGTACCCTGTGTTGTATCTGAGTTTCCTTTAAATAACCCCTGATGTCACTTTGCATGTCTCTCGCCGCTCAGTGAAGCTGTGTGCTGACCCAATTAATTTGCCGGCTTCTCTGTCGCCATTCCTTTTCGCAACTAGTTAGTTATGGAACGATTGGACTGCTAGATTAAATCATTTATACTAATGTTGGGGTTGTTAGTGCGCATACTCTCAGCTTGAAAAGGGGAAGGTTTGATTTAGGTGGCAGGGAGTATTTTGACACCAAGAACAGTAAATATATAGATGTAGATACACGGTTCTCGTAAACTATAATTGACTTACTCAAGCTTTAGGAAATGCCCTGGACACAAAAGCCGCCTTCTTAGAGTACAAATATTAGAGGCACATCTATGGACGTCAGTTCTACTTGGCAGTCCGGCAGAGAATGAGAGGGAAAATTGTGGCGTCGCTTTAGCAGAAGAAAATATGGGGGTGACTGCAGTCAAGCTAATATAAGGAATTTCATAGAAATTTGACTAAATCAACAAAATGGGGAAGCAGAAAAATGTGCACAAAACAACACAATGTATCATTTCAGTAGGGCAGCCTTTTTCTTATGTTTTTGAAAAAGGCTGCCCGGCAAAAGTTACGTTGTGTTCCTTTGTGCACCTGCTTCCCCATTTTGTTGAGCTTCAGGTTTTTCTGGAATTCTTAGCAGAAGAAGTGCGCTCCTATTGGATTACAAATAATAACACAAAGAATCTCTTCTTTTTTCACTTGTAAGTTTGAAAATGTAGACATTTCAAGAGATTCCATATAGAAATTTTATTACCTCATACAAAGGTTGTTTAGACATGATGGACTTATACTCTCCGACGGGTCCGAAATTTGAATGTGACCTCGCCACTAGGGGCGCCAGCATCACGAATAGCCAAAGTTTGTCTCCCATCCATGACACTCCTCCCCCCCCCCCCCCCTCTTCATTGTGTTCTAGCCCTCCTCCTATTCTTTTTCTCCTTGTTTGTCTTCATCCTCTTCTTTTTCTCCTTGTTTGTCTTCCTCCTCTTCTTTTTCCTCCTGACCTCCTCCACTTCTTCACCTTCTCATTCCTGGCAGTCTCCTCCTCATTTGCATCTCCCTCCTGCTTAAACACACTCTCACATCTCCATGTTAATGACTTCAGTTAATGTAGTAGTAAATTTCCCATTCAGGATGTTTCTGTGCATTTTTCTTGACTAATGCTGTATTTGCTTATGTTTTTACTCTAAGAATGACAGGAATTTAGTTGGAGTTTGGCCATCAGGAGCCTGTTCCTTTATATACAAAAATCTGATACATTTTGTATGTCATTTGCTGTTCTAAGTTTTCACTTGACCTAACACTATTTTTTTTAAAACTTGGTCTGTGTGAAGGTACCAGTCATCTCACTTTTTGATGGATATGCATCAGTAGTGAGTTTAATTCTACATAAAATGAAAAAAAATCTAAAGAAACACCTTTTTTTTTTTTTTTTAACAAAACACAAGAGTTCCATTAATAATAATGTCTGGAGGAATGCAGCTTTCTAATGTGCTTGTTTAATTTCTTCAGAGACATCATTGTTATTGCTGGTGGTGTGATCCCGCCACAGGACTATGACTTCCTGTACAAGGCTGGCTGTGCTGCCATCTTTGGACCAGGTAATGAGTCAGTCATATTCGTAGTCTTTCTGTATTAATGACCAAGCAGACCCACGTACACTTGGCATGACCAACAGGAAAGAGAGGGCCAGTCACAGAGCTGAATGGAGCTGGGTGAAATCTGCAGCAGTGAAACTCAAGGGCTTGGAATACTGAAGAAAAAGATATATATAATTAGGTGTATATTATAGCTTGACATTTGTATTCCTTGTGTGGGTTCTATTTTAGAGAACAGAGAATACACCCACTGCTCCCTAGCAAGCATGTTGTAGGTGGCGACCAGTTAGGAGTGTTTCTTTCAAAGTTGGAGTGCATCTGCCTGAGAGGCAAGGAACCAATAAGCTAGATTTGTAAAATGGATCTGCATTCAAAATGCAAGTTCTGAATCAAGACCAAAGTCCAGAAGTGGACGAGCATCCAGAACTTTCTTCTTCTGGAATTTACAGCTGGTGAACGCTAAGATGCAGAAGAAATTTTTATTTTGCCACCACCTGCCATTTTCTGAAGATGCAGTTGACAACAAAATGGTCTTAGGCACAGACGAAAAGCATTCCATATGAATATACAGCACCACACTCAACTCAGTAGTTGGACGACAGAACAATGTACTTGAAGTCCACATATGAGGGAAATGCATTAGCAAACAGTGGCCAGAAGCAGATAACACCTCAAGGCTTTAATGAACAGCCTGCCTGTTGGCTCACACATGATGCCTCTGCAAAACCTGATGCTGACAGGAAGAACAGGACTTCAGAAGAAGAAGACGGTCTGGGAATCCACATTGAACATTTGTAGTACTTTGTTGTATTCGAGCAGTCAATGATTTCTGTTTATCTGACCTGCGGTCCTTGTAAAGTATATACATGTTTTGCTGGTCTGCATTATCTTAACCTACCATTTTTTTTTTTCATTGTCATTGTCAGTTTTTGCTGGTTGTCTCATGTTATCATTCTGTGTGTGAGTCAAATTTAGCTTGTTGTCTCATGTTATCATTCTGTGTCAAGTTTCAGATTTGCTGGTTGTCTCATGTTATCCTTCTGTGTCAAGTTTGCTGGTTGCCCCATGTTATCCTTCTGTGTCAAGTTTGCTGGTTTTCTCATGTTATCCTTCTGTGTCAAGTTTGCTGGTTATCTCATGTTATCATTCTGTCAGTTTTGCTGGTTATCTAATGCTATCATTCTGTCAGTTTTGCTGGTTTAGTTGTCTCATGTTATCATTATGTGTGTGAGTCATTTTTGCTGGTTGTCTCATGTTATTGTTTTGTGTCACAGTCAGTTTAGCTTGTTGTCTCATGTTTTCATTCTGTGTCTGAGTCAGGTTTGCTGGTTGTCCCATGTTTTCATTCTGTGTCCTAGTCAGGTTTGCTGGTTGTCCCATGTTTTCATTCTATGTCTGAGTCAGGTTTGCTGGTTGTCTCATGTTTTCATTCTATGTCTGAGTCAGGTTTGCTGGTTGTTTTATGTTACCATTCTATGTCCGAGTCAGTTTTGCTGGTTGTCTCATGTTTTCATTCTGTGCCCTTCTTTTTCAGGCACCAGGATCCCAGATGCAGCTATCAAAATTCTGGATGTGGTGCAGCATGAGCTCAGTTCAAGTAACAAGAAGAAATCAATTCAGTGAAACCATTCCTGATCACAGTGTTGCAAGAGGAGCGTTCACATTGTTGGCTCTGTTTATACAGCCGTATTTTTTGTGAATTTGTTATGTTTTATGTGTAGCCTGAGGCAGACAGCTTGATCAGTTCTCCACAGAGATGAGATAAATTGCTTGTGCAACTACTGACCAGTTGTCACTGCTGCTTCCTTCGATGATGAAGTACTTGTGTTGGCACTTCTGACTGCTGCCTTGTGCATTTATTACATTTGTGTGTTGATGGATTTGCTAAGACTGCAGTCTCTGTCCATGTTTTCACAAGGGACAGTGATGGAAAGTCTGTGTGTTGTTGGCACAGCAGTGGAGAACTATTGGGTGACCCATTTGCTGTGAGGTTGGAATTGCAAGAACCTGATTACCAGAGATCCCTGGTGGATAGAGCTACACTTGTCTCCATCTCAAAGGTGTAGAGACTGTTCCCGATTGTATACACTCAGACATTGATTTCTTCTGTGATGATCTATTGATCAGGTCAGTGTTTTTGTCTCACCTCATCCATGTGACCAAGCCATCCAGGTATTTACTTCTTTGCCTTACTCTTGCTCTTTTTCCAATAATCTCTGCCAAGTTCTTGAGTCCATTCCTTCTCATCATATGTCTGAAAAGCACTGACTGTCTATGTCTGTTTAAAAAAAAAATCCTTTTACGACTTTCATCTATCTCATGGAAGACTGTCTCATTCTTCTGTCATTCTAGAATATTCTTTTCACACTCCTCAAAAACCGCATCTCTGATTGGAGTTAAATGCTTTTCAGCTTGTCTGCTGACTGTCCATGTCTCACATGCATATAACAGCACAGGTTCTCCGTAGCACTCTTGTTCTCACTACATCTCATTCTTACATCATCAGGTGTCCACCTCTCAGGCTGTAAACTTGTAGTAAAAGGGGGGGGGGGGGGGGGCAGAGATGGAAATGTTTCCTATGTAAAAAAAACTCCTTTTACGACTTTCAGTCTATAGCAGTTCATGTTATTTATTGTGGAGGATCACTCTCAGCCTGCTTCATTCTAAGACGGTACAGTGATATTCTGTGTCACACTCCTCTAAAACACTCTCATCTGCTGATTGGAGGACAGAAGACAAGCAAAGTGCTGGTTTCACCTTGTGGAGGATCACTGTCAGCCTGTCTTCAGTTGCAGGGATAACAGAACAGGTTCACCGTGAGCACTGTTGTTCTCAACTGTGGAGGATCACTCTCAGCCTCTTCAGTTATCAAGACAGAAGACCAGCACAGTGATGGCTGTGTGTCAACTTGGAGGATCACTCTCAGGGGGGGAGGAAGACAGAAGACAAGCACAGTGATAATTGTGTGTCACCATGTGGAGGATCACTCTCTGCAGCTTCAGTTAAAGGAAGGTAGAAGAAGACAAGCACAGTGATGGTTGTGTGTCACCAACTGTGGAGGATCACTCTCAGCCTGCTTCAGTTAGAGGAAGACAGAAGACAAGCACAGTGATGGTTGTGTGTCACCAACTGTGGAGGATCACTCTCAGCCTGCTTCAGTTAGAGGAAGACAGAAGACAAGCACAGTGATGGTTGTGTGTCACCAACTGTGGAGGATCACTCTCAGCCTGCTTCAGTTAGAGGAAGACAGAAAGACAAGCACAGTGTGGTTGTGTTTCCATCACAAGCACAGTGATGGTTGTGTGTCACCAACTGTGGAGGAACACTCTCAGCCTGCTTCAGTTAGAGGAAGACAGAAGACAAGCACAGTGATGGTTGTGTGTCACCAACTAGAGCTACAGAGGTTGCTACAGGGTGCATCTGATACATCATCATCATCATCATCATGTGCCCTGCCCAGTGGCGTAGACACTCATGTCTCTGCACAGATCTCGGGCTTGGTGTTTTGAATTTGTTCCACTGATGATATTCCACATGCCATTGTGTCAGGCCATCAAACATCATCTCTCTTGTTCGGCTTCTTCCATTTATCATTCCAGTCATCGCAGTGTTCTCCAATGTCTCTCTTATCATCACTTGACCAAAGAACATTGTCTCTTTCTGATAATTGTACATCTGATACAGACATGTATATTGATTCAGGAAAATGTTTATTCTAAAAGACCATACTCAGTTTTTTTTTTTTTTATATCTGCATTAAAATGTAAAGTTAAGGGCCCTTTTCCACACCATCAGGCATATAGGGCTAGACCTATATTTTATAGACCAATCGGATGAGACCAACATCACACCAGCCGATTTTACTTTCCTGGACTTTCCTGGTACCTAATGTTCTGTGAGATGTTGGCACTATGCCAAAGTCACTTAAGTCCTAAGCCCTTGTTTCAAGAAAATCACGCTTGGAACATTACAATCTGTGTGAGAAATCACATGGAAGCAAATTAAACTTGTGTAGCTTCGTTTTGACATATTTGGAGTAAGAATTCACATGTGTCTTTGGCGTTGTAAAATAACAACAACCCTAAAAATGCACAGGTAAAAGTCACCAAAATTGCACTTAAGTAACTTTTGCCCAGTGCTACTGAGTTATAAGAATATTCTAGTCTGTATAATAACAGTAAACTCAGGCTGCTATCAGAGCATGTGTGTGCTCCTGCCCCATGAATTCCTCTGTGTTTGCTGTTTAGTGGTGGCACAGTACTGTTATGATTGTCAAATGATGTATCTGTTGGACTTTGTTCATCCTACCTTTCTGCAACTGTTCTTTTCCCACTCATGTTGAAAATCATTTCTAGCTGCCTTTCACTTTCTCTTTTACCTGTTACACAGGTGGTCTCTTCTCACGAGGAGGCCAGCAAATCCTGCATGTTTCATTGTTAAAACATTTGGGTAATGAGGTATATAAAAATAATTGTGCATTTCCAGATTATGTTGGTGTTTTCTTTTAAAAATGTTGTTCCATCTCCACAAACGAGGTTGGATGCAGTGAATATGTACCTACAGCCAATGCTGTCTGTTGGGATTATTACGTGGTGGGGCTGCAGTCTCTTCCATGGCGCAATTCTTGTACCAGTATCCACAAGACCGGTCTTTCTAAATCAGCTGGCATGCAAACCGGACTCTGGCACACTGAGGATTGTGAAACAATGCTCACTCACCTCTAAAACAGAGCTGCATGATCTGTGTAAAACATTTGTAATGAGGTATATAAAAATAATTGTGCATTTCCAGATTTATGTTGGTGTTTTCTTTATAATGTAAATTTTGATTTAAGAAATTTTATCCTGACTGAATCTGATGTGTTATGTTGTTGATGAAGCTGCAATAAAATAACTAATATGGAAACAGTATATGGCTTGCCAGTGTGAGATTTTGTATGCTGTTTGTCGAATTAAATTTTTATTCTTTTATTTGTGAGTGTGTGCGTGAAGCCGCCTCATGCATGTGTATGTGTGTGTGCATGCATGTTTGTTGCTCTTGCTCTGTTGTAAATGAACAATCTTTACTTCAGATTTGAGTGTTGCTGTAGAAAAGGTGCATATTTTCCGTATGTTTATTCTGATTTGTTTGCTGGTTTTGTATCACAGACTCTTCACACTGCTGGCTTTACCTCTCCATGGCTGCTTTGAGTTTTCTTTAACACTAAATCAAATGGCTCAACATGTTTGCCAAGGAGGCTCTTTTAAATTATACGTCAGTGTCCCACAGCTAACAGTATGTCCTATGCTGCTTGGAAAGACTTCTAATAGGTTGTGTGCCTCTGATGCTAGGCTGTGCCGATATTTACTCCGAACTCTTGCATTCTTAGGAGTGATGAAGATGCTCTGACCCCAAAATTCACTGATATTCTCTCTCTGGATTTTACCAGTTTGGCACTCTCCTTAGGTTGGTCATTTGCAGTTATGAGAGCCAGCCAGTCTATCAGTTCTTTCACTGCCAACAAAACCCACACTAAATGTTATGCGGGTGATAACTTACTCACACTAAACACCTTCCATGCTGACATATATTCTGTGCTCAAAAACATAAACAGTCACCTTGTGCCCATTCTGTTTATGCCAGCTTAATTACTTCTTCAGTTTTCTGCATACATCCAGTTTAAAAAAAACAACCCCAACAAAAATCTGAATATTGTAATCTTTCAAATTGCAAGAAATCTTTCACCATCTATTAAAATCCGGTTACAACAATCACAAAATAAATAAATAATATATGTACTGTCTTTTTTTCTTTCTGTCCTCATACCTTAGAGTACAAACAAAAATGAGACATTGTAGCTATATATATATAATATATATATATATATATATATATATATATATATATATCTATATATAAAAGATATATATACTATATATATACCATATAATGAATAGACATGTCTGCACATTTTGTATGTGTGGCACTCCCCCTCTGTTATTACTGAAAGACTGATAACCAATGACTGAAACAGCCAATCTGTGGACATGACTGCCACAGGAAATAAATCCCAGACCGCCCGTTTAGCTTTAGTCTTGTTTCAGAACCTGAGTTTTGCACTCAGTTCGTTTTACAGATCTAGCTTATTTGTACGTGCTTACTGCCACTTGCCTCAGCAGAGGCACTCCAGTCCAGCTTTGGAGGAAACACCCCCTGATTAGTCACCTTTTACAACATGCTTTTTTCGGGACAGGATGATGTCTATCCCTCCCCCCCCCCCCCAAATTTGTGTTTGATCTCTGCAACTTTTCACCCCCCCCCCCCCCCCACCCCCCCCCCACTTTTTCCTCTTTGTTTTTCAACATAAATAAATTGTTATCTGTTATCAAGAACAACAGTGAAACATTACTATAAAATCTATCAAGCAGTGTATGGCATCATCATTATATAAACAAAAACTACTTGGATAAGATTCAAGTACATAACAGATGTATAAATGGCTGACTACCTAAGCAAAAAAACAGCAATGATGAAATACACTGAGATTCACAATCTGGTTAAAGTAAATTTAGTTCTCAGCATATATACATTGGTCCATAAGTGCAACATGTGGTATTAATCTTCTATGTACAAAAAAAAATAAA